GCAATGATGGTGCCAACTTGGGCCAGTGAAGCAACGTCCTCGACAACTAGATTGAAGAACAAAACGACAGCAACTTGTCTATTCCCGTTACCCCAATTCCCCAGCATTGTTCCCATCCCCCAAATTCCCCAATAAAAATCTTTAAAAAAAAAAAAGTGGGGATACCTTTTTAGTTATTGATGCAAAGGCTACTATAATTTTTATTTAGAAAAATTATACTCATACTTAATTTATATAATTTCAGTAATGAATATTTATAAGGTTATATTGCTAAATCATCTGAGGCCAATGATGATATCTTTTTCCAGAAGGATTTTTGTTTCCTTCTATCAGTACCTAGAGGACCACTTTAATCCATTTATGTTCTAAGGCTTGAGATTTTTCTGATCTCCCAGGTGATTTAAAGGCAGGCTGCAGACTAATTATAGGGCTGTTTTACTTCCAGTTCACACTTAATACTATGGGGCAGCCCTGTAGGGTCCCAGATGGTACCTATTACTAGACTCCGCACCCTTGGCAGGCTCTAGATTTTGACCCTTGGCAGAAACATGCCTTAGCCTTTCAGCTTATCTTCTAGTCAGGGAAGCACTGTAAGGATAAAATCCTCTCCAGTGTTTTTTGCTTGTATCTGGGTTCCCAGCTGGTTTCTGGCCTGGTAATTAGTCATTATCTTGTTAACTCTCTGATTTTTGTTTTAGAAGTGTTTTCAGTATTTTTCAGTGGGAGGGTTTGCTTGAATTACCTACCTAGTCTACTATTACTTGAAACAGAAGCAATTGTTAAGGAATTTTTTAATAAGTTATAATAGACTGTCTTAAGCTACAGGACTATTTCTTTTTATATAAGCAATCTGAGACCTCTTCAGGATATAATATGCGTAGCTAGTCATTGGAACCTATATCTTCTTGATTCTTGGCCCAAAGCTCTTTAAATCACATTACTATTTGTAGTGACAATACACTAAGTATTCTAGTTAACTAATAATTAGATTAGATTCATCCCTGAAAGGCAAGATGATCTGTAATACATAATGAATTGTTCTGTTAATATTTATGGTAAATATTCTACCAAATTTCCTTTGTAAATAAAAGAATCAGATTCCTGGTTCAATGGGGACTGAACACAAATACTTCTTGCTTTTCACTCTTTAAAGGCTATTGAAATGACCCAAGAAAAACAAAGAGCAGTGACACTAGTAGAAAAATAGCACAGAAAAGATATGTGAGGTCTCACAGTAGAGTTCGTGAACTTGTTGCAACAATGTTGCTAATCTTTTTTGATATCAGGGGGATTATTCATTATGAATTTGTACCAATTAGATAAACAGTTAACCAAGTTCACTATTTGGAAGTACTGAAAAGGCTGCGTGAAAAAGTTAGATGACCTGAACTTTTCGCCAACAATTCATGGCTCTTGCATCACGACAATGTACCAGCTCACACGGCACTGTCTATGAGGGAGTTTTTAATCCAGTAAACAAATAACTGTATTGGAACACCCTCCCTACTCACCTAATCTGGCCCCCAGTGACTTCTTTCTTTACTCAAAGATAAAGGAAATATTGAAAGGCAGACATTTTGATGACATTCAGGACATCAAGGGTAATCTGATGACAGCTCTGATAGCCATTCCAGAAAAAGAGTTTCAAAATTGCTTTGAAGGGTGGACTAGGTGCTGGCATCGGTGCATAGCTTCCCAAGAGGGCGAGGGCGGGGGTAGTAATTCAAAGGTGACCATAGTGATATTCAGCAATGAGGTATGCAGCACTTATTTTAGGATGAGTTCGCAAACTTAATTGTCAGACCTTGTATACTGCATCTATAAAACATGATCAGGCTGATAGAAAAAGGAAACAAAGAATATATTTCTTAGAAGATTTTGCCAAGTAAATTTAACAGAAAATACTATATAATATGAACACATCCAGAGATCAAAATAATAATGTGTAAGATAAGTGGAAGTAGCCTAGAATCTAGAACAAAAAGACAGGAAAATACTAAATAAGTGAAAAAAAAACATGAGAGACAGAACGAGAAGTTGTAAAAAGAGAAAGAGGTAATACAGCAAAGAAACTAATAAAATATAATTTTGTAATATTTGCCTGAACTTGACAAAAACTCAGATAATAAGATTGAAATCACTTGCCAAGAAGACATAATGAAAAAATATACATTCTGGTAGAAGTCTTAAAAATTAAACTTAATCATTTCGAAATATGTTATAAAATCTCTTTGTGTAGTTTCAGTTTCAGGGTAATGATGGCCACATATAATAAGTTGGGAAATGTTCCATTCTTTTCAATTTTTGGAACAGTTTCTATAAAATTAGCAGTATTTCTTCCTTAATATTTGGTGAAATTCTTTGGTGAAGCCACTTAGGTCAAGTTTTTTCTTTGTAGCAGTGTTTTTAAAAACAATTTCAATTTCTTTAATACTTTTAGGGCTATTTAGGGTATCACTTTTTTCTTGAGCAAATGATCATTTGTGTCTTTTATGTATAATAATAAATATTATGTAAAAATATGTCCATTTCATTTAACTTGTCACATTTAATAGGCATAAATTGTTTATAATGTTCCCTTATTATTTGAATATCTATAGAATCTATAGTAATGCCACTTCTCTCATTCCGGATATCGGTAATTTAGATCTTCTCCCACTTTTTTTTCCAGTCAGTCAGAGGTATATCAATTTCACTGATTTTCTCTATTGTTTCTCTGATTTTTTATTTCATTGATTTCCACTTTGACCTTTATTATTTTCTTTTATTGGCTTACTTTGAATTTTATTTGTTCTTTTTCTAGTTTCTTGTGGTGGAAACTTTCAGACCTTTCATGTCATACAGGCATTTAGTGCTATGTATTTTACCCTTATGTACTACTTTAGCAGCATCCCACAAATTCTGATATGTTGGGTTTTCCTTTTGATTTGTTCAAAATACTCCCTAATATACCTTTCTGTTTCTTCTGTGATCTCTGGTTTATTTAGAAGTGTGTTATTTAGTTCCCGATATCTCACAGTTTTCCAAGGGTTTTTCTGTTATTGATTTCTAATTTAATTTCATTGTTGCTGAGAACGTGCTTTGTGTGACTTGAATCATTTAAATTTATTGAGACTTATTTTGTGGCTCAGTATATGGTCTATCTTGATTAGTATTCCATGTGCAGCTGAGTATGTGTTCTACTTTGGTTGAGTGGAGTGACATAGATGAGGCAATCAGTGAATTTATTCTTCTACCTGCCCTTTTTTGTCTCTTTTCCTCTTAATTTTTGTTAGTTATACTGTCGGGACATGTAACATTTATGGCATGTCCTGTTATGCTAACTAATCTCTATTTTTGTTTTAGTTTTAATGTTCATCAACAGTCCTGTTGCCATAGTTGCCCCAGTCTCTTGGGGGGCTGAAGTCAACCAATCTGGGAAATGGTTCATGAAAAGTAGTTCCCTAGTTTTTATAACCTTTATACTTGAAGAACAACTTGGATGGATATAAAAGTCATTGGGCTCAACTTCTTTTCCTTGAACACCTTGGTAGAACTAAGAGGTAGTTCTGTCTTCTGGAATTGAATGTACAGAAGCATGAAGCCAGTCCAGTTTTTTCCCGTTGTAAGTGACTTAATCTTTTTGCCTGTTCATTTTTTTGTGTTTTTTTTTTTTTGAAGTTCAGGAATTCTATTATATTTTTCAGTGTTGATCTTTCAGGGTCCATTTTCCTGAGATACTCTGAGCCATTTCAACATACAGGTTTAGTTTTTATTTCAGTATAGTTTTCTTGAATTGCATATTGACATTTTGCGTTGGTAAGTTTTGTTTATTTTGAACAACCAACTAATTGGAACAGTAAAGGAGAAAGGAAAGAATAATACTTAATCTTACCATGATCACTTTTCAGTGGAATGTCACATAAAAGCACATTATAAAAGCAACTTATTTTTATAAAATTAAAGTCCTGCTCAATCTCAGAAAGAAAAATAAGGGTTGTTTGCTCTACTGCAGATCAGACAGGGGAACTGAAATTAAAGATGTTTGAAATGTTATAAATCCCTCTCATTGATGCTTAGTCACTTTGTATTTCATAGGATATCATAGATATTCTTTCTTGTTCTGTGAGTGTATTAAGCAAGTTCTAGCCTCAGAGCCTTTGTACTTTCTGATCGCTTTGCATAGAACTCTTTTCTCCTAAATATCCA